GGCTTCTCCCTGCCCCACGCGGTCAGCAAGCTGCACGTGGCGGGGAGGGACATCACGGAGCACCTCACGCGGCTGCTGCAGGCGGACGGGCGCGCCTTCCCCTGTGCGCTGCCCCGGGCCCTGGTGGAGGACATCAAGGAGAAGCTGTGCTACGTCGCCCGGGAGCCCGAGCAGGAGCTGTCGCGGCGGGCGGAGGAGGTGCTGCGGGAGTACAAGCTGCCGGACGGGAACATCGTCTGCATCGGGGACCAGCTGTTCCAGGCGCCCGAGGCCCTGTTCGCGCCCGAGCAGCTGGGCGTCCAGACCCCGGGCCTCTCCCGCATGGTCTCCTGCAGCATCGGCAAGTGCGACGCCGACATCCAGGGCGCCCTCTACGGGGAGATCGTGCTGTCGGGGGGCAGCACCCTGTTCCAGGGGCTGGACGACCGGCTCCTGAAGGAGCTGGAGCAGCTGGCCAACAAGGGGACTCCCATCAAGATCACGGCGCCCCCCGACAGGTGGTTCTCCACGTGGATCGGCGCCTCCATCGTCACCTCCCTGAGCAGCTTCAAGCAGATGTGGGTCACCTCCGCCGACTTCCAGGAGTTCGGGACCTCGGTGGTTCAGAGGAGGTGCTTCTGAGGGGCCCCGCGCGTGGGGCGGCCCCCGGGGTGGCGAGCTCGCCCCTCGACGTCGGCACGGTGTCCAATAAAAGACGAGACGGTGCAGTCTCTGGCCACGTCCGTTCATTCCTGGTGGCACCGGCCTCATTTCTTACCCCGGGCGGTGAACCGCGTTCCAGTGGTCTGCCTCCCCCACCCCCGGACCCCCCCTTCTCCTGGGAGAGCCCTGGGGTATGAGTGGCGGCTGTGTCCATCGGCAGAATTTGGACCAAACTCGGGGTCTGGACCTCATGCCAGAGCTCGTGTCGGCAGGGCCCTGGCGTCTGCATCTAAAACAGGTGTCTTAGGTGGGCCCGAGGGTCCGGAAGGGGGTGTGGCGGGAACAAGCAGGGGTGCTTGCTGCCCGATCCTGAGGTCCACAAACCCTCGCCCGGGTTGCTGCTTAGCACAGTAGGGCTCTCTCTGCTTTTCTGGGGCCGGCCAGCTGAGCAGGAGGGACCCCTTCCTCTGGGCACACGGGGACGGGCAGAAGCAGAAACCGCCACCTGTTCAGGACTCTCTCGGGCCCGCTCCCGGGACCATGTGAGATCCCACTCTGCTTTGTTTATTGCAGCCTGTCTGTCTGTTTTTCTATTCGAGTGTGTTTGGGGCAGTGGTTGGGGGCAAACTACTGGAGGCAGAGTTAATGGCCATGAAGTAACAGCTGAATAAATATGATGGGGAAAACCCATGTCATATCTGAAGTGGAAGTGAGCCTGTGCTGTATTTGAAGGCAGAAGATGGTGGGCCATCTTCAAATTCATGGTCCCAATCCCTGTCTTTTTCCTCGGTGTATTTAGACAGTTTACGTTTAAAGTAATGGGTTCTGTCTTACGTCTACCATTTTGTTTTCTGTTTGTTTTTCCCCCTCTGTGTTTTGTTCCCATTCCTCTTTCTTTTCTCTTTTTGTTAGTCCTCACCAGAGGATATTGTCCCATTGATTTTTAGGGAGAGTGGAAGGGAGGAGGAGAGACACACAGAGAGAAACATTGATGTGAGAGAGAGGGGGCCGGGGACTGAGCCCATAAGTGAAGTATATGCCCCCGACCGAAATTGAACCTGGAACCCTTCAGGTTCTGAGGATCGACGCTCTATGCACTGAGCCAAATCGGCCAGGGCCCCATTCCTCTTGCCTAACCTTCCCGTGGGTTACTTAAACATTTTTAAGAATTCTATGTTGCTTTATCTGTGGGTTTTTGTATGATTTCTTAATGATTGTCCTCGCTAATGTTATGACCCACTGGGACCAACATTTTACCACTTGGAGTGAAGTGTAGGAGCCTGACTTTCACTAAAGTCCTTTTACCTTCCCAACTTTTAAAAATATATATATATTTTATTGATTTTTTACAGAGAGGAAGGGAGAGGGAGAGAGAGTTAGAAACATCGATGAGTCAGAAACATTGATCAGCTGCCTCCTTCCTGCACATCCCCTGCTGGGGATGTGCCCGCAACCCAGGTACATGCCCTGGACCGAATCGAACCTGGGATCCTTCAGTCCGCAGGCTGACGCTCTATCCACTGAGCCAAACCCGTTAGGGCCCTTCCCAACTTTTGAAACAAAACTGTCATCCATATTTCTTCTGTGTACCTGAGGCACAACCTCAGATAGGGTACCCCTCCTTCCCCAACCCCCCGTTCTTTCGCTCTTCCCGAAGCCCCATGCCCTTCCCTGCTCTGCTACACCCTCTCTGTTTAGAGAACTCCTTTGGCTGTGCTATAGGAATGGGTTGCTAAGCAACAGGGTTTCCGTGTTTTCTGTCCCCTGAGCATGTCCCTATTTCCCCTTCATGCCCAAGGATGTCTCGGCTGGAAGTGAACTAGATGGTTAACTGTGTTCTGGCGGCACTTGGGGAACGTTGTACCAGGCCCTTCTCCGTGGGCCCCGTGGTTGCAGGTCCGCAAGCACCTGCTATTGGACAGGTGACCCCCTGCAGGTAACGTTCACTCCTCTCAGGCTCCGTTCGCGAGTGTCTCGTTGTCTTCAGAAGTTCCATGATGTGTCGTGGCGTGGATGCTTTCGGTTTGTCCTCTTCGGGGTCCATCCAGCCTCTCGAATCTGTAGATTTATGTCTTTTGCCGAATGTGAGGTTTT